ACATGAAATACTGTTTATTGATGCATATTACTTAAAATTCAACATTACAAATAAATTGTGTGTAAGTACAACTTATTAAAGCTTAATGTTTGAATTCGTGTAACTAACTGCAGATAAATATATTCAAATACAAGATAAGCATTTCATTTTAAATATAAAAAATTAAAATATAATTAAGATAATTATTGAGTTCTAACAAAATATTTAATCATTATCCTTATAAAAAACTTATATTATTAAATCAAACATAAATTATTTTGAATCTAAATTATATTATAATAAAAAAATCGAATTAAAGAAATTACACAAAAAACAAGAACTTTTATATAGTTATTTTGATATCAATATTGATATATTTATTTTCAAAATTTTATGATATCTTCAAATTTATATTTTATTCAAAAGCAAAAATATTATTTCTCTCTAAAAACCACAAAAAAAACCGTATTAAAACATCTACAGAGACAGAATAAAATGAAACATAAAATCAAAATATATTTCGCTGCATTACGTGAATATCTTGGATGCATACATCAACTCAATGGGTCTGATAATTTAAATATAAAAAGTGTATTATGGCCCATCACGTTAACCTCAGGAGCCCTCCCTCTGTAATGACCGCTCCAATGAGGTTGCCAAAATCCTCAAAGGCTCTTAATGGTAAAATATAAAAGGATCGGTTCAAAATATAATTGAGGTGGCAAAAAAAAAGCTGCCGTTGCATATGTTTTTAATAAACGAACATAAACGAATATGAGTAAACAAATTTTTTTTAATAAACGAACATGAACACAAAATTTACGTTTGTTTACAGTTCATGTTTGTTTGTTTGTTCGGTTAAGTTAAACGAACGAATATGAATAAGCTTCCGCTCGTATTTGTTCAGTTCGTTTACAACCCCAGTAGATGTTGAAAAGGTGGAGATGTCAATGAAGTCGAAGGTAGCGATTGGGTAGTTCTCGTTACATGAGGAGACGTCAATGAGGATGAGAGAACACGACTATGGAAGAAACTAGTAGGAGCGTGAGAGGGCATTTTTCAAGGGTAGTGGCGGAAATGTGTTAGCTTAATGGCTATCACTCCTTGTTATAGGTTGTTCCCATATTAAGCCATTCTCGAACAAATATATATGGCTTACTAAATAAGTCATACATGACATACAGTCCATTAAGTCGTTATCTAACAACTCCTTATCCATTCTATATTATATTATAAAATGTCACTTTTAGTTATTTTGAAATTTTTAAGAGGTACAATTTATTATGTTAAATGTATAAACTTTAAAGCTTTACAAACTCCTACATTACACTTTATATTCTTATAATTAGTTACTTAATTTACTTTATATCCCTTATTTTTTCATTTTTCATTTACACTCTTATCATATTAATATAAATAATCGTATATGAACTAAAATGCATTACAATACGTTTCTTCTTTTTGCAAATTATACCATTACCTTCAAAAATAAGCTCAATATTGAATATTTATTTTTGAATTATACTATTAAATATCACAAATACGTATGAATTAATTCGATTCTTTTGACCGAAAGTTGTAACACCGGAACTTTTTGTTTAATTTTAAGGTTAGAGTTCATCTCTATTATTACCTTTTTGTCTTAAATCCAAGTCTCCTTGGGTGTTTTATAAGAAGGATATTTTGGGGTGGTTAGGATTCAAGGAAAATGAAGTTTATGAAGGAAAACAGTGGAAAACGTGGGTGTCAAGCAACCTAACCTGTACGAAAACATCTTTAGGGATTGTTTGGGTTAGTTAGGAATTGTGCTAGTAGTTTTGTTGCAGCCTAACCCGCATCAAAGTCGCGCTAGACTCTGTTTGTGCATGACCTGAAGCGCCCAAGTAGTTGTGGTATGGCCTAACCCGTATAAGAGTCGCCTTCGACTCTGTTTGCACTCGACTCATAGGGCGCAGACGACCATGAATGCGGCTAAAACCGCTTCTGAGTCGCATTCGACCACCTGCTGCCCCTTAAGCCGATTTTCCCCTATCTCACTCCTCATTTACTCTCTTCTTTTTCTCTATCACTTCATTTAAACCACCAAGAAACCCTAGGTATGATTTTTGGTGCATTTAAGGGTCATTTGTTGGTAGCTATCATCAAAGCTTCAAGAATTTGAGCTGTGGAATCAAGATCTACACACCCACTTCATCATTTTGCTAGGTTTTGGGTTTTCTCCAAAACCTAATTTGTGATTTTATTCGAACCCTCTTTAAAACTTTATACACGTCAAATGCTCTATTTTTAGTCTCGTAAAATGTTCCTCCTTGTATATTTCCATATTTGTGTATTTTGTCCAACCTTAGGTAGTTAGGGAAATTTGACGGTTTTACCCTTTTTGCTAATAAATGTGAGATTTTGAATATGGGTTATAAATATCTGATTTAAGTACAAAAATATTACTGTAAAATTTGATCTACATGATTTATGTGTATTCATGGATTTTTACATCCTTGAAGGTATTTTATGAGAAAATGGTAATACTCGAGAAAGAGGTGTTATTACTTGTATATCAAGATCATTATTGAACTTGTAAACTTTTGAGAAAGGGTGATAAAAAAAACGTTATGATAATTGGGTAAGAAAATGGTTATTGGAAATTATGAGAACTTGGTTCTATTTGGTAAATCTTATGCTAAAAATGTTATTATGAAGACATCCAAATGATATAACTATATGTGTGATTATAGTTGGTCACTTTTAAGTTGTGACGTATCTTAGACTGTAATGCAAATGATTCATAAGCATAAGAGTCAGTTTTATGTGTTTTAGGATGATTGTCCCATCTTGTAACTAGAAATAGGCACCGAGTCATCGAGGGCATTATGGCACGGACTCTTGGAGTCAGATACCAACGATTGACTATACGGTGTAATTTCTAGTGATTTAGTATAATTGGGATCATTGGGGGCCTTGAGCTATAGATCACGGTTGGCTGAATCATTGGTCTTTGACTCTTGGTGTAACTCTATAACATGGAATTGGGTGGCTTACTTTTGTGTTCTGCCACTAACCATAGAAATTAGGTCTTCCCCATCAGCGTGAGATATATTTTTGGGCTTCATGGGCTTACTTGAATTATATGAACTTGGGATTTAAACCAATCTTGTAAACTTTTACTGCATTGATTATTTATATTATTTATAAATTGTTTGATCTCAGTAGGCTTCAAAGCCTAACACATTTTTTAAAATGACATGTAAAAATCTATTTGTACTAGGTTTTCTTGTTTACATCTATTCAAAATTTACACTCAGCTATATTGTACAGATATAGAATTGATATCGAGATAGACAAAAATGAAATTATATTACCATTTTTAGTTCTCGGTTTTAAATAATGATACAAATCGTAACATGGCACGAATACCTTACTGGCTCTTATTAAATACAGTTATTTATTTATTATTTTCACATCTACATTTAATTACCATTTTTTTAATTAATTTTTACCATGTTAACAACTAGATTTAGTTTAGCCATAAGATTAAAAATGGTTTATATTTATTATAATTCTTAAGAGTACATATCACTTAAAACCATTATTTTATGGTAAATTTCATTAAGTTTTTCCATTTTAACGAATAATAATTATTTGAAATTAAGTAATTTATTAAAATATTAAATATTATCAAATTAAGGGTTGTGTGGTCATGGTATCGGAGCCTTTGATCTCTTAAGAAGTCAGAGTTCAAACCTCATCAAAAGTGAAGAAAGTGTGTAGATTTATTTATTACATTTATTGTATATAAATATTATATAGATATTTACCCGTCAGATACTTATCCATTCACCTTTTTGCAATATATTATTGACATTTTTTGTCTAATTTTTGATTAAATAACACACGAAAATATGTTATTTATTGGTTTCTCTTAATCAAAGAGCAAATCCTTAAAAACGTTATTAAACCATACACTGTGTGCGATATCATAGTTTCACATACATATTTAACATGTCTCCTTACCTACTCTATAACCCGCTAACCGATTTAACGATTTCCTTATCCATATTATGAACATTTTTTACATAAGACGGTATAAGTTATGTTTAGCAAATTATCTAATAAATTAATTGTTGATTGGTAAGTTAGCTGATAAACTAATCATGTTTGATAAGAATTGACCGATAAATTAATAATATTAAAATGATTTTTCAAAAACTAATTGGTTTCTAACCATACATGATTTTATCAAAAATTAAGGAAAGAATAAAAAAAAACAAATAAAAAAAAGGGTAAAAATGGAAATGACTTTGATTGGTCATGAGAGGTGGGGTGCAAGATGTAAAAGAAAGGGCAAGTCCATGTCATTTTTGAATAGTTAAGATTGTTAAATTACCAAATTAGACATGTGAGCCAAAAGTACAACCAAAAAGACTACCAACAAGCTTTTGGATGCTTGGAAAAAATGACCCAAAATGATGCAACACAACATTCTACCTGCCACCCCCTTCCTCTTATGTCTAATTTCATAAACACCCCCTCAAAATTTCATTCTTACCTAAAATATACCACCCCCCCCCTCCCCTCCTTGCCTTAAAATGGAGCTGTTGATGTTCTCTGGAGTCCCCCCTTTTTGGTCACTTGAGCTGCTGTTGCCATCAACTGTCCGTTTTTAATTTACACACAACAACACGATTAAATGATATGATGCTTTAAAACATGTATTTATTTAAACAGTATCAGAACAGACCAATTATACCTGTTGTTGTTGTCTTTTCAGCCTCACGTTCTCTTCTTTCAAGCGTTCCACTTCATTTTCCAACTCATTGGTGTAAGCCTATTCAACACCCGATGCGAAGTTAAAATTAAATACATGAATTACACATGATCGTCTCTCTCGTATGCGGTTTTCTAGGGAGAAAACAAATAAAAGAAGGTTAATTTTGTGGATCCGCAAGTTGCAATTAAGATCTTAATTAATTTGATTTAAAAAAGAATAAATGTGTTTCGTTTGACAGAAATAATTGAAAGTAAGCAACTTCATTTCTATTATTATAATTATTTTAAAATCGATTATTTTTTGGTATGTATTTATTATTTTACGAAATGTATTTTAAATAATATTCTGAGATATATATATTTTTTTTTGTTGCAAACAATTTTGTTATGATTGGTGAAATGCCAAGATTACACTCATTGACCTTGTACCAAGTGGGGTAGTGTAGTTTCTCTTGTCCTTCATACAAGCACGCTCATGTCACGTCGAGGTACTGCAGAAGAAAAAACTGCTTCGACTCTCGCATAAAGTTCTTGCTTCGACAATTCAAAAGTCGGAGGTCTTTTTTATCTTCCGATTCATTCAAATTCCGCCATCTATTTTCATTGTTCAACTCTTTAACAACATCGTGATTTGGATTGAATCTCGATGAAACAATCCATCAATGAGAAGTTAGTTAATATATGCTCTAAAGTTGAAAATATCATAAAAATGAAAAAAGGGAGGGAAACATTCTGGAGCTACAAAGTATGTAATTCCATAAATAAAAAACTAAATATAAATGATCAAAATTATTCATTAAAACTATAGTATAATAATATTTATAAAACATATGAATGAAACAAAATACTAGAAGAATAACCTCGAGTAAGGGACCCACTAAGTTAAGTTAGCTTTTAAAAAAATAATAAATAAATCAGTAAAGGTTAAGAAAGATGGGTCCCATTTAATTTTATGATTAAGACATTTATGTTACGTGTTATATGAGTTTTGGGTTTTTAATGGGTTTAAATTAATAAACATTTGATTTATTTTTAGAATTAATGATAATTTCTTGAAAATAAATAAAATTATATATAATTTAAAAAATGATTTTATTTTGGATCGTCGTAAAATGGTGCAATAACATAAACCACCGAGTCGACTCGAGGTGACATGAGGGAAGGAGAAAGAAAAGCCAGCCAACCTGCTTTCTGGCTCGTGAACGAGCGGCCGATTCTCGGTTCTTGATCATGCGTTTGTGCCGGCGGTCGCCACCGGTCCTTTCGGTAGCCGGTAACATCCACATCCCACCAATGCTGTTGGACAGCAAGCCTGAAGACGAGTTCGCCGATGCCAGGACCTGGTCAAACGGGACATCAAGAGGGCAGACGTTCCGGGTCGGATCTTTGGCCAGAAAATTCATCTGATCCGGACCTGAGTTCAGGTTCAACAGCATGGGCGGCTGAGCCACCGGTGGAGGTGGTGGCGGCGGCGGCGGCGGAGGAGACGGGGATCCATAAGCAGGCGAAGAAATACGCGTGGGTGTGTCGTTACTCGAGAAGGGCTTGGCAAGGAAATCTTGAAAGATGAATCCACGGTAGCCCTTGRTGGTGGCGACAGGGTGGTTGGTGGAGGAGAGATTGATATCCTTCCAAACTTCTTCCATTGTTCTGGTGGTGTTTGAAGAGCTTCTGATCTGGTTCACGGTTGAAGAAGGTGGTGAATGGTTGGAAGAGATGGTAGAGGAGGAAGAAGCGGTGGATCTTGTTGAACCCCCACCAGTTAGATGGTGTTGGTCTCTGCTGAAATCATCACCATCAGATAACATTTGTGGGAATTGAAGTGTGTGTTTCTTGAATATGTCTCTGTGTGTGTTGTGTGTGTGAGAGAGAGAGAGAGAGAGAGTTAGAGAGGTGAAATCTAATTTGACATTTGTCATAGGACATAAGAGGTCTATCAAGCTTTGTACTAAAAGGGGGAAGTGGTGGCAGTGAGCAGTAGTACCCATGAGTCTTGAATGGTCATTGATAATTGGCGTTTTGTGCCCCCCAAAACCCTATGATGGGTGGTCATGTGGTTGGCAACAAAGATGCTTAATCTCACAACACCTTGAATCACAACCATATTAGGATGTGACAAAGATTTGCTTGTTTCCATTTGTTGAGTCTATTTGGGAAATTCCCTTTTCTTTTTCTCTTTATATACATGCCAATTTCGTTACTTTTTTGTGATATTAGGATGTGTCATAGGTTCTTTATAATAATCAATTAATGAATCACCTCTTCTAACTCTTCAAATACACTCGTATACACCTACGTATCTACCACCGATCATAAATGGAAAGATGAAAGCTTTACAAAGTACGACCATCGACCAATCACTTGGTTTTCATATTTACTTACTACTTATCTTTGACTTTGGTTTGTTTGTGTTGCAACGTATCGGTGAGTGTGCTTGTTTGGGTAAAATTATCTAAGTCACGACTAATGTTAGAAACTAATGACCTAGTATATATCATGGATAAGAGCTGTTGACCAAATACATTGAGACTAGCGATCGTTGCTATTGACAGTAATCGTATGATAAAATGTATGACTAAAGATACTCATATTATTGGTTGCCACTAAGTAATGACGATCGTATGTTTTCTTATACTTATTGTCGTTAACTAATGACAAACAACGTTCTATCTATGGTGTTTTAATGCAAGTCTTCTTATATTTAATAGTAACAGACATAAACGAAAGCAAGCATTTAGATTCATTAAAGATGGAGATTGTTGTTGGTAACGAAGCTCATAAAGACACATTTATGAAGGCAATTTCTATATAAACAAAGCTTATCTCAAAGGAAAAGGGAAGCCAAATTGAAAGTACACAAGTGACATACAAAGTTCATTCGAAGAACTCACGAAGCTCTCAAAAAATATAATATCCCCACTTTCACTTAACTCCAAAATATTCAGGGGTGACAGATCCGAATGAGCATGTCACTCAATATAAGAAACTGATTTGGACGACATCAATTCCTCAACAATTCCAAGAAGTATGTATATGCAAAAGTTTCAGGGTGACGCTCATCGGTGCTGCTCTACAATGGTTGATCAACTTAAAATCAAAGTCGATCAATTCATTTGTCGAGTTGGTCATCCATTTTTTTCAACAAATTGCTAGTGGTCGCAAGATGGAGAAGCAAGCTAGCGATTTGTACTATGTCATCCAGAAAAGCAGGGAATCGATGCAAAATTACTTCAATCGTTTCAATTATGAGATGATTGGAATTCACAATTGTCACATTCGAACGTCGATTGAAGCTTAAAAGTGTGGTATGGACAACAGTTCATGATTATATTTGGATCTAACGAATATATGCCGAGACTTTTGAAGACGCTAGAACCAGGACGTTGGCTCAAATGCGCGTCAAGGATGACACACAGACACAGCCTTTCGACGTAAGCATCTTTACGACAAAAAATCTCTCAGTGTCAAAAAGCCAGAATTTAAAGTCAAGGCTATCCCTAAGCATGAGCAGTCACAACAAATATCAAACATCCGGTTCAACAAGAAATGAGATGCTCCAACCTTTCCGAAATTCCCACAACACCCAAAAAGTTTCGACTGAAGGAATTTGGCTCACGACTTCGGAGCAATAAGTCTACACGTCAGAAGTGACTCTCTATTGATAGTCAACCAGATGAAAGGACAGTTCATGACAAAGAACTCCAAAATGACGGCTTATCTTAAGGTAGCCAAGGCATGTTCGACCCATGCTCCATTCAACATATCCCAAGAGATTAAATCACTTAATCCGACGCCTTATTCAACCTGGTTCAGCATTAAGAAAGTTTTTCTTAATGTCGTTCCATCAATATATTTGATGTTATCTTCTGTGGAAGACAATGATTGGACCCTCTTTCTAGATGAAGCGGACGATTGGATAAAAGACATAAAAAATTATTTAATGGACAATCATCTTCCTGAAGACAAGTTGGAAGCTCGACGAATTTGATTCAAAGCATCCAGGTATATCATGATCTCCGACAGACTCCACAAGCGATCATCGACCGGTTTAAACTTGCGATATGCCACCAATAATCGAACTAAAGACATTCTTCCATAAATGCATGATGGGGAATGCGATAACCATTTCAGAGGTCAAAGTCCAGCGAACATGATATAACGACAATGATACTATTTATCCTACTTGACGGAAAGACGCCATTAAATATGTTCAAAGTTGTGACGCCTACCAGCGACACTCAGGTATGACCTATCAACCTTCTGAATCCTTGAACACGTCGTTAGTCCTATGGCCCTTCATACGATGGGGATGGATATAGTCAGCAAACTACCTCCAGCCCAGGGCAAAAGGTATTTCTACTAGTTCTTACAAATTATTTCTCAAAATTAATAGAACATGCTGTTTTCTCTCAAGTCCAAGATAAAGAAGTTATTTCCTTCATACAGACTAACATCATATGCAAGTTTGGTATTCCTTCTAAAATTATTTGTGATAATGGATCACAATTCATCGGCGATAGTCTCGACGATTCTGTGAAGATCGTAATATAAAACTTACGACATCGACACCTCCTTATCCTCAGTTGAACGGATTAGCATAATCAAGCAACAAGATCATCATAAATTCTATAAATAAAAGGCTTAAAGCCACAAAAGGTAAAGTGGTCCGAAGAACTACCATTAGTTCTTTGGGCCAATCGCACGACTCCTCGAACTTCAATAGGTCAGACTCCCTTTTCTTTAGTTTATGGATGTAAAGTTGTTTTACCGGTTGAAGTAAGTCTCCTTGTCGCATGACATACAACTGTAGATCATAACTTACTCGACCTAATCTATGACCTCGATGCACTTGAAGAACTAAGGAAATCGGCCTTAATCAAAATGGCTTCACAACAGCAAATGGTCGCTCGACATTTCAACAAAAATGAGAAAGCAAAGATATTTCAAGAAGGCGACCATGTCTTGTGACATGTATTCCCAAATACAAAGGAATCAAATATGGGAAGGACCATATCGAATATCTAAAGTTGTAGGAAAAGGAGCTTATGTACTATGAACTCTAAATAGACAAGACATCCCACATAGCTGGAATGCGGTACGTTTAAAGAAGTATTTCTCTTAAATTTCATTTTGATTATTTCTTATGATGAAAAATTACTAAATTAAGCATCAGAGGGCCATTGGATTAGCCAACGACCACCGCTAACATTGCTTTATCGCGGGAACGCACAATTCGAAAGACATGGTCGATAAACACTCACGACCCATATAAATGATCGATTGGGTGATCAAAATTGTCGATGCTTACTAGAAATCTTACAACTAAAAGTCATGATTTAATTTTTATTTTTCTATGATTTAAACATAAGAAAAAGTCATGGCATAGTTGTTACGACTGTCGCAAGTTACTTGAGCGAATTTCTTATTTTCCTTCTGAGGATACATTCAGACCGACAGACTAATTCATGATCAATTTCTATAAACATTGTAAGACAAGCATTTATGACAAAAGAAGCCACTTGTAGTACCATTCAAAAATATACAAGTGAAGGGCACGACCACCAACGATCGCCTCGATAAAGACGGTATACAAGAAAGATGAAACTAAGCTAAGGAGCAGGTTGTTCTGGCACAACCTCGGTCACGATAGCAGGAGCGACTTCTGTCACCATGACGCTGGAAGCACCGCCATCAGCTTCTTCCTTTTCATCATCAGAATCGAGGACATCCTCAGTCCCGATCGATCTAAGGAAGTACCGCAGTTCCTCACTTATTAAAATAAATACTTTTTTTATGAATCAAGTATCACTTATTAATGTATATTATTTAAAATTAAAGATTACAAGTTCATTAAATATAGATATAACTAAGCTTTATGTTTAAATTTGTGTAACTCACTGCAGATAAATATAATAAATACTAAATAAACACTACAGGATGAAACATTTATTTTTATTTTTCTGAAATATCCAAATTTTAAATATTTTCATATAACTAATTTATAAACACAAGAAAATTTGAGATAAAACATCTCATTTTTATTTTTTTTTATTAAAGTATATTTATCTCTTTAATTTTAAATATAAAATGTCTTAAATATAGTTTTTATTTAAATTAAATAATCTTTGAGCCATAACAAAATACTTTATCATTATTTTAATCATAATCAAACTAAATAAAATATATTTTTATAATAATACTTAAATTAAATAAATTAAACTAGAAAATTAGAATTTTATAACCTTAAGTTTGTAATCCATATTAATATATATTTTAAAATAAAATAATAACTAACTTTCTCAAAACCATAAAATAAAATCGAGAAAGATAACAACAGAACAAAGTATGGATCATGATTGAGGGTTCAAGTTTTAGATTTTCACACTGCATCACACGGGTAACTTCTAGTAACTTCTTAAAACTTCAAATTTGACCTCCACAAAATCAACTCATAAAACCGTTTAAACCTACTAATTTCAATCATAAGCCTGCTCTATTTTCACATTCCAATAAATTGATTAAAACCAGTACTAGAAGGAAAAATACATTATATTTAGCAAACTTAAACTTTTCTTTTATCAATAATCGTATAATTACAATAGTATTTCTAACAATTACAGCTAAATACAATCACTATTAAGAGGCTGTTTACCAAACGCTTACTTGGATAAGCGTTTACCAAGTCACATTATCTTACCGGGTGAGTATGACAAGCACCAATAATCTTACCCGTAAGAGCGAGGTAAAGACCGAGAGTCTTACCTAGGGGTGGCAAAAAATGACCCAACCCGAACCCAAACCAAAATTA